GGGAACAAAGTCCCAGTGCTGGGAACCTCATAGACCCAGGGAAGCTCCATGCAGGACTCCCGGAGCTGTACAAGGACACGAAGCCAACAGATGCTGAAACAAGGACCTTCAGCCTTGGTGGCGAGCCAACCCAGCAAGGCCGCCATCTAGAGTCGCTGCCCCCACACAGGGTCAGCCTTCTAACTGTGAGAGTATATGTCTGTTTGTTAAAGCCACCCTTGTGTGGTGTTACTCGGAGAGCAGCACGAGAGAAGTAGGAGGTAGATAAACAGCAGGCAATGGCCTTGGCATTTGGGACATAAGCTAGGACATGTGGCTTATGCCCCATCCCTTGCCCTGGGGAGTCTGAGTTGATTCCAGAGAACACATTCAGAAACATTGAATCTTAGTAGCTCTGTGGTCTGGTTAAATCAGTCACTGTGACCCCAACATCTCCACCCATGAAAAGGAGGAGCCGAGAGCTCTGCAGAAGAGAAGGCTGAGCCACGGATGGCTCTGGTTCTTCAGGAATAGCCCCACAGCCTGTCAAGGAGGCTGATGTGGGCAGTCAGGCCCCTGTACAAGATGCGCTGCAATGCAGAAAGGGACTGCAGGGGCTTTGGGAGGAAGAGGTTGGTTCTGTGTGGGAGCACAGATGCTACAAGGGCAGATGCAACCCAACAGGGGGAAGGGGGAGGCATCGGGGTGGAGAGTGAGGCCAAGCCTTGGAGACAGGGGAGAGAGATGGGAATAAGAGCTCACCCCAGAAAAGGAGGGTGGGCTAGATCTGGAAATACACTGCAGTGTCTTAGAGTCGGGACTGACTCCTACAGGCAATGGAGAGCGAGAGAGAGCCAGTGAGAGAGACAGAGAGAGAGCAGGTAGCAGCCCAGTACGCCTACAAGGACCCATAAAACCACTAACTTCACCATAATTCCAACTCACGAAGATCCCATAGGACAGAAGAGAACTACTCCACGGGGTGTCCAAGGCTGACATATCTGCAGAAGCAGACAGCCACGTGGTTCTCCAAGGAGCAGTTGGGTGGTGGTTCAGTAGCAGCTGAGAATGTAACCACTGCACTGCTGGGCCAACTCAGCCCTTAGATGTGGGAGCTGTGTTGTTTCCCTCCTGCCTCAGTCCACTGAGTGCAGGGACACAGTCAAGAGCCGCAGGAGGCAGTTTGCCCTGTGAGCAGGAGGAAGCTGCCCTCGATCTGTAGGCAGGGCTCTGCCCATTGAGGTCATCACTAGGCTGGATCCACAAGCAACATTTCCCAGGCAAGGCACATTTCATCTGGGTGCAAGAATGGCCCCAGCCCTGCTTAAGAAAGTGCCTAGAGTGGAAATGAGTCTCCTTCATGCAAGAAAGAATGCGCAGGTTCAGGGAGGGATTCGCCAGTTGCTGTAGAATTCACACCCACGGGGTGTCCTGCACCGCAGGCCAAGTGCAGGTGGAAGCCCTCTTGGAAAAGCATGCGCAAGGACTACACAGCCGTGCGAATACAAGGGGGGGGGGTGAACGGGAGTCCTGTGCAGCCCAGATCACACTAAGAATGACAGGGGATCCCCAAGGCCTCTCTGGATTTGGGGTACAGAAAGGCCACAGAAGACAAGATGGGGAGCAAGGGACTATTCAGAGGGCTCAGGATTAGCCCAGATGGTGACAGACTGGATCAGCATCCTCAAAAAGAAAAAAAAACCACCCAAATCCAAACTCACTGCTATCAATTTCAGTCCAACTCATAGTGACCCCATAGGCCAGAGTTTGGGTTTCTGAGACTGTAACTCTTTACTGGAATAAAAGGTCTCATCTTTCCCCCAAGAAGAGGCTGGTAGGTTCAAACTGTTGACCTTGCTACTAGCAGCCCTATGTGTAACCCCTCTGCCAGCAGGGCTCCTGAATGAACATCCTAGGGATAGAGAAATGGAGAGGATTGGGAGGGATCTTGGAGTAAGTTGACAGGACTTGTGGATGGAGTGGATGCAGGTGGATAAGCCATGAGTCAAGATGGCACCTCAATCTGATATGAAATATGCAGGACTCAGAGAAATGAAGATGTGGGTCCCTTGTTCAACAATCCTAGAGAATTTTGAAGGGGGGACAGTAGAGAATTAAAGCAAGTGAGAGGTTTCTGAGCACAGGGTGCTGTGAGGCCATGCCCTCCCTCCTCACAGCCCTCCCTGCATTTGCCTGGGGGTGGGTCAGTGATACTTGCCTCCTTCCCTGGGACTCCTTTCTCTCCTGGTTCTCCCTGTGAAACAGAATAGCGTTATCAGTTGGTTGCAACAACAGCAGTTTGCAAGTAACATGACTGTCTCCAAAACATCCTTGCACTTGACTCATTTGCATCCAGACAGTGGTCAGTGGCTCGGTTGGCCGAGGGCATCCCAAACAAGGTTGTCCAGACAGCCTTTGCAGAGGAAAGGTGGAAAGGGGGGCCTCTAGGTTTGAACTCCTGTCAGTGGATTGCAGGTGACTCCACTGGGAGAAACTCTGGTCCACCACTCCAACTACGTGATTGAGGCTGGGACGTTTCAATGAGGAGCCGATTCAGGGTGTGAAGAAGTGCACGACTTTAGAGTCGGACTGGCCAAACCCTGGTTCCTCCACTTATCGGTCCTATCACTCAGCCAGCCTCCTCGGCTCGATGTGCCTCCATTCCCCCACCTACAAAATAGGAAGAGTAGTTGTCCTTCTAGGATTTCCATGAGATTTAAACATGTTGTTACTGTACGTATCCACCACTGACTCAGCCCTCTACACATGGTCGCGTGGAACAAAATGTAGCCTGGTCCTCACTGTCCCTGTGATTGATGTCAGAGAAGACTGTGTTGATCCACAGGCTCAACTGTGGCTCTTTGGAAGCAGACACCCGCTTCGCATTCAATGAGTAAGCATTGGAAAGGATTCAGACCGGTGACATCCATACAGTAAGGGCTTGACCAATGACCACTCTCTATGCGATTTGAGGAAGGGCTGTTACAATGCAAGTGGAAGAGTGTAGACCTGGGTATTCAACAGTACCCAGAGGCTTATTAATAAGGGGATGGAGAAGGAGACCTTGATCTTTAATGGTGAGTGAGCAACCTCAAGGAGAAGTCAATGGGTAGAATAACAACATTTATAGGGGCCAAAATTGATTAGGGAGAAGAAGGGGTGTTTTTGTTAGGAGACACTTTGTTAGTAAGAAAAAAAAAAAGATAAGGTGGCAGGTAAGGAATGTAGTCCAGGTCACCGAACGAGACGTGGAGAAGTTGTGGACTTGGGAAATGTTCTCTGGTGCTTACTTTCACCACAATAAAAGCAATAAGAAGTGGGCACTGCCATCCTAGGGTAAAAAGGGTGAATGAGGAGTTGCCATCCAGAATGAGCTGGGCTGACCGCAGGGTAATGTGCAGGAGTCAGAATTAAAGTGCAGGAGAGATGGACAGCATCTCTGGGCAAGCTTTGGACAGCCCTGCTTCCCGAGGCAGCAGTCTGAGCTGCGGGCTATAGCGTGCCAAAGAACATATCCGTGAGCTCCCTTGCAGAAGAGTTGAAACCTTCAGCATGTCAGGGTGATCCACTGGGGACCTCTGCCCACATGGACACGGTGGCTGCAACAATGAGTGTGAGGCCAGGGCAGGACCAGGTGGTGGCTTGTCACTGCGTTCTACTTGAGTTATTACCGATGGCCCAGAAACTACGCAGTCACGACCACCCTGAAGCTCCTCTCAGTATTTAGCTGTCCACTTGGGAAACCCGGGCCTGGGATAACAGCTAATGCCTTCTGGCCTTAAAGTCCAAGCCCTGTTAAGCCCTGGGATCCTCACCACAGCCACAAACCCACCACAGCCGTTCCTGCGACAGCTCATATTGCCTGGGCGTTCCAGGGGCACCGCATGCCTTTCCCGATCCTTTTACATGAGTCAGCTCACTTCATCCTCAGAGTTGGGTGCTGTGACACCCAGGGAATAATGAGGAAAGAGCACACAAAGGCCAGGAGGCTTTCTAAGGGCTGAGAATCCCCCTAGAGGTCACCTTTGACCTCAGGCTTTAACCAAGGTGCTCTGTCGTCCACAGACCCCAGTGGAGCTCTGAGCAGGCCACAAGGGCCTGAGCAGATGAGCTGAGTGAAGTGGAAGAATGCTTGCCTTCCATGGGCTCAGCTCCTCATACTTACCCATCACCCGTCTGTCATGGCTGTGTGTCATGGTGCAGAACAGGTGTCAGCAGAGCTCTCCAACTAAGAGAGACTAGGAAGAAATGTCTGGCGATCTACTGCCAAAACCACCAAGACCAGGCATGAGGTCTTGATAAGTCGGGGGCCCACTCAAGGGTGGCGAATGGCAACAATCACATGACCTAAGGACCTCAGAGGGGGTAGGAGATGTCCTGAACGTGACCTGACACCTGGAGTCAGGTGTCTCTGCCTCTTTGGGGACCCCTGCTTACCGGAGGCCCCCGAGGACCCTGGAAGCCAGGAAGCCCAGGGCTGCCGTTTTCTCCTTTGCTTCCTTTCTGACCCTGTGAAGAGAACACGGAATGGGCTCTGCAAGGTGAAGGGCCACGGCCAGCAGATTCAGAAACCTCAAGATGCCTCTGCACTCAAGGCTGAAAGCAGCATCCCCACCCTTTCCGGAGAGAGTCAGAGCCTGGAAGCAAAGTGAACGGAATCCCAACAGTGCTGTCAGAAATGGGGAGGCACAGGGAGAAGGTCCCCAGCACAGGAACAGCCTTTCTTTGCCAAGAGACAAACCCAAGAGGGAACCAATACTCAGGGAGACACCCTGCCACGCACCCGGGTCTCCTCTGATGATACAGTACACAGCTTCCAAGAAGCTGCCCACGCTTGTGTTGTGGCGGGATCCTTCTTGGAGGAGACCCAGAGAGACTTTGGGAACTCTCTGCTTTAGCCTTTGGGAACTCCCCCCAAAGTTGAGTGGGCTCTTCTAGGGTTACCTTTGCAGGGAGTGTCTCCAGCGACCCATTCCAATTCCACCCCATCTGCCCTGCCTCTCTGTGAGCAACACGCCGCACCTGAGCTGCTGGGGCAGGTAGGAATTCAGACTCCTTTCGCTCAGCCACTCCCGGCACCAAAGGACATGGAGCTCCACTAGGCTGGCCAGCTGGCCTGGTTGGCCCAGGACTGGCTCACACGCTGGGCTTTGAGGGCTTTGAGGGCTAATCCCGAGAAGTTCTCAGCAAACCAGGATGAACTGGTTGCCCTCATCTCCACAGCACCGGCAGTGAGCTGGCCGGGACAGAGAGCACCATTGTTTCTGGACTCACCACCCCGTGAAGATGGGTCTTTGTTAAGGGCTTACCACTTCTCATAAATAAGCCTTCATGAAGGCTGGCCTGGCAAGAGACAAGTGGGCAGACTTTGCCTTATCTAACCCCACAGCCCACCCAAGAATCATCTTTCCCACCATATCTCCCATTTCCCAATCCTAAACCCCAAACGACAGATGCCTCTACCAGGGACCACAAGCGCTGTGGATCATTCAAGTCACCCACATTCTATACCTGTAGATTCTTCTCTTCCCACCTCCACCCGCAGATGTCTTAGGCCAAAAATGTTCTACCTGCCTGCCCATGGTGCACACTCATCCGTCCTGTGAGAGGTAAGGGCCCGTCAACTTGACTCTATGCTACCTTATTCCTTTAGGGCTTTTAGTTCTGATACGTTTTGTCTCTTTGGATGCTTACAGTTGTAGACAACAGAAAGATGAGTGTACAATTCTGTCTCATCCTGTTTCTATCATTCAAAGCCCAAATCTCCCCGGTGGTGTTTTTTCCTTGGGGGCTGGAGGGTTAGACAGTGGACAATTAGCCATGGGAGCTACATTCTGCTTTCAAAGCTGGCTCCTGGCATCATCCTTCAGCAATCATAAGGTACTCACTGGGCTTCCTGGAGGGCTGGGGTCTCCCGGGGAACCAGGTGATCCACTCTTCCCCTGGTGGACAAAACAGAGCTGGTAATTCCTCCAAGATGCTCTGCCAGGGCACCTCAGAGCAGCATGGTGGAAGAGAGATTAGCGGGGCTTGGCCGACTTGACTTCACACCTAGATTCTGTTCCCCAAACCACTGTG